GTACTTGGAGTTCAACTATAAAGAGGCTAATCCGCAGCGTAAGATACAGCCGAGGAGAAGAAAAATGTAGGGTAGGATAAAGTTAGGATAATGAAATTTTTCTTAGACAAGGTACATTGTACAATAAAAGCTTACCATATACTTCTCTATAAAGCATATATTTTAAATCAAATAAACTTGTTCTATATGATGCTATATACAGATTACAAGAACATGCTATTTGTGTAGGAAACTCTATTAAAATTAGTACTAAATGACATTTTAAATATTCTTACAATATCGACTAATATGCCGCTATATAATTTGCTACAAATAATGATGTTTACTATGTTATTTGAACAACCAGATAAACACAGTAAAGAATATATAAACCTTTTACTCTAAGTTCTTGTAAATATGAGGAGAAAAGTTTAATTAATAAAACTCAAAATAGAAAATCCATTGAAGATATCTTATGAGTTTTTTTCTCTATTAGAATCGTTGATGATGTTTAGATATTTCTTAAGAGACAGAAACAAAAAATAGCAAACAATATATTTTGATTTTTTCTTAATTTTGCTCTCATCACTAGTTTATATATTTATAATTGATAAATATTTACCAATGAGATTGATGATCGTTTTAGTTGATGTTTCATTTCGAATGATGGTAATTGATCTTCTTTTTTATATTTTATTTCTACATTTTGATTTTCATCAGTTTGAATATATGTACCATTAGCATTTAAAGTATTATTTTCTGTATCGAATGTATCATCTCGATGAAATGTTTTATCTTTATTTCTTGATTGTCTTCTCTTTCTTAATAATGTTGATTGTATACTAACAGGTGAACGTGAATGTTTACGAATAAAATTTACAATAAGTATATTAAATATTAAAATAATAGAAAATGGAATCACAAATGAAATAAAAGCATCAGCTATAAACCAGCTAAGTTTTAATTCTTCATGGCAATTTACATAAGTATTTCTTTCTGACAATGTAAAACAAAATATTGCACTAAATATAAATATTAACAAAAGAAAAGTAATTGGTGATGAACGACGATGAGCAGCAGCTTTTAATGGATAACGAACAGCTGAATAACGTTGAATAGTAAATGAAACAGTATAACATGCTGATAAAAGTTCGGCTAAATGGCTAATAAATGATATTATTAAACAAAGACGATCAGAATTTCCTTTCATAATATCATGAATTCCACGAACAATTAATGCAATATTAAAAAGAAGATCACTAAGAGCTAAAAAAAGCAAAACACATGTTTTTATTAATCATGATCTAGTAAAAGAGAACTGTTTCGATTATAATTAAGTTATAATGCAAAAAAAGATCAAAATTATAAGTAATTTAGGAAATTTTTATCAATTAAAAAAGACTAAAAATCTCCATAATCGGTTATAAGTGTTTTTTTCAGAATAATCCAATTGTAATCGAGATAGTTTTCACTAGGTCAGCTCAATATGCATTTCTATGTCAGACTGTTCTATCTAGTATTAAACTAATTTCGTTTGAAATCCAATTATCAAGTCCTTTGATTAATGTTTTTTTCGCATAAACTAATTGAATTCTGTAGTATTAACTAGAGATTTCTTGTTTCTTTTTCGTATTTCCGTTTTTTTAGCTGATTTATTTTGAACAAAATATATACTAGAAATTTTCTTTTCATATTCAATGAAAACTTTCTCTAACATATAATTTTCTTTATCTAGTACTTGATTAATTTAATTAATAATACTTATCACGTTAAGTCAAGATATAACATTCATTGAATACGGACAAAGACATTTTTTATCATATTATACTGCACAATTATATGTTTTCATGTTTGAGAGGCTTAAAGCATCGGTACTTTAATCACATGATTGTTTTTCTTTTATCAAAAAACTTTATAACAAAAAATTCGAAAAATAAATGGACATTGATTGCATTAGGTATGTATCATTTAAAATTAGTGGACTAGTTTTCGAATCTAATTTTTCATTTATTAAATAGATATAAATAAGAATATTTATTTATAGTTAATTTGAATACATTTTTTCTAAATTTAAAAAAAACATTGAGTATACGAATAAATGCGGAGTCTAAAAATTACAACACAATCCTTGCAATTTCACAAACAATCTCTTTAAACATTTTTCAAAGAACCAATTAGATATTTATTGCATGTGATTAGTCTCTGATTTAAATAGATAATTTTTGTGTTTTTCTATTATACATGATTAGAATACCATCATTTACAATCTATTTAAAGAATAACAAAACAAAAAA